ATCCTTTCGCTGTAAGGAAAACAGTTGTTTCACTCCCAGTGAGGGGATGGTGAGATAGGTTTTGAAATGCAGACAAAGGAGAAATTGTTTATCCAAATTTTTCATCCTGTTGGAGTGGGAGGGTTGTATGAATGCAGAATTGTTCTGTTGCAGTTGCTGACTGTGTTACTATTATTTATATAACTGGAGCTAATCTCCACCATTTGTATTTAAAAAAAAAAAAAGAAAGAAAAAAGAAAAAACAACTTCAAAACCACAGTGTTTACTCTCAGCACAAGTCAGTCGAGGACTCCACTCAGGAAGGCTTGGGCTGAGGAGAGGTTCTTGCGCTGTGAAGACCAATAGCAGAGACTGTGTGGAGATGCTGTTGCTCCCAGAACACGATGCCACTGAAAATGGCCACCTCCGAGCATGGGTTATATTATCTGCTGAAGTGAATATACCTGCATCTTGAGTGCTGTTCTGCACTGTAAAATGCATTACATATTTGAAAGAACTTTAGATCAGTGCACTGTTATTTGTAGCTGTAACTTAGTGTTAAGAACTACTTTCCAAAGCCTCCAGTTATTCTTTGTGTTAGTGGCCGTGGAGGAGCATGGAAAAGAGGATTGCTATTATGAACATGGGCAACAAAAAATAGAGGTTAAAATACATGACTTCCTCAGCTGGGTAGGATTTGGGCTTCTTATCTTTTTGAAAAATTCCCCTGAAGTAGTTTTTTGTGTTTTCTGTGGGAACTCTTGTAACTGAAGACCTGAATCTAAATCATAGCATCTGGTTTTTCCTGAAGTGGGAAAATGAACATCTTTTCTGTCCTGCTGTTTCCAGCCTAACACTGGAAGCAAGCAAAACAACTCCAGCCTTTGCCTGAGTAGGTAGTGTTTGCCAGCAGATGGCTGTCCACAGCACCAGAGGTCTGTTCCCTCTGGTCAGTAGGAAGAAGAGAACAGCCCCATACGCTGTGTTTGTTGTGGGCTGATGGCAAATTGCAGCCACTAGCCTGAGTGCTTCAGCCAACCCTGGCTGTGCTCTTGGTTTGTGGCATACAGTGTCTTTACACTGCTTAAAAAAGGAAGTGCGAGGAGGCTTGTTTCAACTGTACCACAGAGCTGCTCTCATTGCTATGGCCACTAAAGCCCTTCCAAATGTTTGCTTTGGGCCAGACCCCTCTATGCCACTGGATGTTGAGGTACCAAGATGACCCTTGCCTCTGATATTCAGCAATACCAGAGCTCTGTTAGTATCACAGTGACTGGGACAGAGCAACTGCTGGGGAGCATCTCCTGCGGCCAGTTTGGACAACAGCAAAGTGAGGAGATTGGCAGCAACTCAAGGAATGAATGGAAAGCTTAAATTCTCTCAATCCTATCAGACCTTCAGGCAGCAAGTGATCACTGTGTGAATTCCTCGAACAGCCCAAGCACCTAGCCATGCTGGCTGCAGAGCACCCACGCTGCTTGCTGAGCAGAGCTGGGAGCACTGCCCTGCTTGCATCCTAACCTGCACTCCACAGAATCATGCCAAAGAACATGGGAGAGTCTGGAAATTAACACGTTAGCTCCTTAGCTTGCATTTACTGAATAGTTTAGGAAATCTGACTGCCTGTAATTCTCTAACTTGTGCCAGTAGGACAGTCCCACTATTAACTGGGCAGCAACGCAGTAAGCAGTGTTTGCAGTGTGTCTTGTATGTCCCTTGCAGCCTCAAGCATGTGACACGTTTGATTTGTTGTCTACTGCCACAAGATTAACACCTTCCACATGCATGGCTTGTACATAATCCCCACCCCGGGTAAATTATTTAAACGTTTTGGCAAAGGATTAGTAAGGGCTTCAGCCTGAAGTATGACTGCAGGGAACGCATGCTCACTGCTGGAGAGCTTTAGCATGATGAAACATAAGACAGTAGGAAGGATGGTGGGAAATCTTCAGTAAGTGTGATGGCAGTGAAGTAACATTTGATGTGAATGCTATTTTGAGTCTATTTCATGACGACTTGTCTCTCTTTGGATAATATGTGGAGTTGCCCATGGGTGTCAGTGGCACAGCACTAGTTTACATTGGCAGGAAAGCAGAGTCTGTGTGCCTCTGTGTGCTTTTCCATTGAGACTGGACACCTGTTTTGCTTTGCATTGTGTATGTTTGTCTTGTAAGATCCATTTCCTCCAACTGTCAGTCTCTTAGTGACCCTGCCAGTGGAAAATCTCTTGTCCTGGGGAGGAAACATGACTCTAGTGGGAGCTACAGGCCCTACAGGCTGTGGGGTCCTGCTGGCTGCCCCAGGCATGGGGCTTAGTGCACCTGTGTGCCGCTTCGCATCTGAGAACAGCAGTAAGGCCAGTTTTCCTCTCTTCTAGTGAAGAAGTGGGATAGCGTGGCATATACAGCCGTGCATGGACTTCTGAGAGGACCTAAGCACTAGAAAACTTAAATACCCGGGGGCTTTATGTTGGTGTTGCCACCTTGAACTTAGGAGCTAAATGTCCACCTCAATTCTTCCACAAAAGTTTGGGTTTTCCCAGAGCAGAAGGGGTGCCAAGAAGTGCCCAACAACTCAAGGCTCCCACAGGGCTCTTTCTGCACCTCCATGAGGGCTGGTCTGTCAGCCTGTGGGGTACATGTCCTGAGCTGATGGCAGTAGTGACTGGAAATGCCCTGACTCTCAGTGATGGCAGCCAGGGCACTGAAGCTCAGAGCCTGCTCACAGTCAGGCTTCCAAAAAGTTGTGTACTCCTGTGCAGCATTACTATGGCTGCCACTGTCACAGCATGGCCCAGGGTGCAGTTAGTGCACAGTGAGCTGCAAGGCACTTTAAGAAAAGCACTTTAAAGAAAACTCAGCTGTATTGTTAAATTTCTCATTTGTCTCAGATCATTTTTATCTTTTCTGTGGCGCTCTTTTAAAACTAACGGCAACAAAGGCCAATGGCAGTTTCCCTGCAGATGGCCTGTTTGATTTGTTTGCATTGCTGTGGTAGTGCAGGTAATAATTAACAGGTGGGTTCAGGTCTGTGCGGTGTTCAGGCTTTTGTTTGAGTTGGCCTCTGCTCTCTCTGAGTGGTGTTTACACAAACCCACCAGTGGCTTGTTGCTCTGCTCTGTTTCCCTTTGTTCTCCAGGACTGAAGCCTACCCTGTGCAAGAGCCCAAAGTGCTCCATTGGGCTGCATTTCATCACTGCAGGGCTTGAGGCCTGCTGCCAGTGCTGCCATTTAGGATAGGCTGGTAATACTGAGTGGCGTCATCAAAGCCTACAAAATCCTTGACTCCTGGCATCTTGGGCACCTCTGTCTTTAGTACAAGCTGGTTACCTAGGAGGTGGTCCTGCTCTGCAGAACAGCATCTCTTTAAATGTCTGTGGAGTTGGTAACCCAGCACTGGGGTTAATACAAATGTCTGCCATGTGCAGAAGCATGGAGGTAGCTCAGCTTCTTTCCACTTTTGTGGAATTGAGTGCAGTGTACTTTATTCAGCTTTATATGTCACAGTGCAAATATTGACTAAGTAAATCAGTAAGGAGTGGTTTTGCTTCTTAAGGCAGAATGCTGAACTTAGTTCAGCATTAGTTAGTTGGCTGTGATTAATTCAACTATGAATGCTAGTTGATCTCTTTCAGATCTGCTTATCTAGCAGATTCCTGAGAAAGTTGGCTTCTACTGCACAATTCAAAAAGAAGAGTACCACAAATACCTTAAGGAGAAGCAGAGAAATGCAGCTCCCTAAGTGGATGTGGCTGCAGCTGAAACACAGCATGGCCTCGGTGATAGGCTGAGGTCTTCCACTAGCTCTGTCATCATTTATGTCCTAAAATCTGGAGGAGCTGTGGGCTATTACAGATGGACTGGTTAACCTAAAGTTTTCACATTCAGGAGTCACAGTGGGGGTGATGTTCAGGATGTGTACCTGCAGCACGAGCTGGGGAGAGCCACATGATGACAGATGGGAAGTGCCACTCCAAGCTGCCTGTGGGCAAGCAGTGGGGCTGCAGTGCAGGTCATCTCTCAGGGCATCTGCTGTGAGAGCTTGCTCATGGCATGCTTTTCCTGGCTTGTTTGCTGTGCAAGTACTGCATATTTGAGTCAAAAGCCCTTGCAAGGTGGAGGACTAGACTGAGTGAGACCCTGTAGTTTATGAAGGAGCTGCAAGTTAAAGAGAAGTTTTATAGGTGTTTACTGCAAACTTTTCTTTCATAGATGAGAGGACAAACCACACCCCAGATGTGTTTTGGTTTGGTTTTTGTTTTGACTCCGTTTATGCAGATGTAAGTTAGAAATTAATGTTAAATTAATTGTGGCAAAAGCATCATGCATGCAAGATGAAGGAGCAAAACCACCCTCCTTGAGAATGTCATTTGTGCCTCCTGGGCCACAGGGAAATTTGCTGGGCTGGTATGTTTGTATTTGCTGTGCAGGAGGCTGTGGATGGGTGAGGTTGCTCAGAAATGAAGGTTTTCACAGGGAAAGATCACTCCCTGCCTTTGGCTCCATCTGCTTTACTGGGGATAAGCTAAGGAAACTTGTCTTTGTTTTTTGTTCCTTCTGCCTTAGCACGAAGTTCAGGGGTCATGCTGCTTAACTGCTGCCACATTTTGTCTTTTACCAAATCAGTGCTTAGTTTTTCTGCATGCACTCAAAAACAACTTTCTGAAGAGCCTTACACACACCAGTGGTCTGAAAAAAGACTGCATGCTCCTGCTCATGCAGATGGTATGTGTCTTTGGTACTGCTACCCAGGCATCCAGCCTGATGGCAGTGCCACCAAATGGAGCTAAGAGCCTGCAGCTGCAAAAACTAAGGCTGCCCTGCAGATTCCATCTCTTTGTGTACTAACTGGAGAACCCTGTCAGGACTAGCACACAGCCTGGCAGACTGGTCTCAGTGCACAGGGCTGCCAGCACTCCCAGCAACCACTGCCAGTGTCCAAAGGCCACCCAAAGCAGAGCTTGAGGTCCCTGATTCCAGCTGACTCCTAACACCCTGCTGTTACCTTTTTGGCTCTTCTAGGCTTCTGCCAGCCCAAGGCCGATGAGCCTACCTCCCCAAAGAAGGCAAAGAGCGTCCTGGAGCACCTCAATGTGGAAAGCTGGTTCTCATCCACTGACCCTGAGTGGGCCACTGTAAGGGTCATCCCTGAGGAGGAAATGACGGAGCACAACCTCCTTGCTGTTCGAGTCATGGTCACCAGTGATGCAAGCAGGTACTTGAAAACATAAGTAGACCTTAAAAAAAATAGTAATAATTAAAAAAAAGACTGGTTTTCTCTGGAAAGATATAGCTAAACAAGGTACCAAATGTACATACAGTGTATCTTAAAAAAAAAAAAAAAAAAAGAAAAGAAAAAGCAGCAAGGAGAGGAAAAAAAGAGAAAACAGAAAAACTTCTCAGAAAAACAATTGTTCTTTACCACAGCCATAAATCCCACCAGACATATGACTCACTTTGCAGGAAGTATTCAAACATTTGCATCCCACACAGGGGCCTGAGTCAGAGAGAAAAACATTACCCCAATCATCTCGGGTTCAGCTATTTTTTTTTCCAAAATCTTCAGAGATCAGGATGTGCTGTGGCAAAGGTATATCCTGCAAACACAGTCTCCTGCTACCTCTGTACCACAAGGCTGCAGCCTCAGTACCTCTCTGGGTATTTGTTGGCCTGCCCACCTCTAAGACATCTGAAATCTGACGGCTTTCCAAGAGCTGTCAAAGGAAGTCTGATTTCTATTTAAGAACAGTGATACATTGGCATTCTGGACAAGATTCTGTGGGAGTTCACTTTGTTATAGTAAAGGTTAGATTGGTATCTTCCAAATAAAGTAGTTTTCCTTACCGACAATTAAAGAAAAAAACAGCAAAGCAAACCCAACGCTATTTGAGTTGCAAACAGAGCCATTACTCTGTGAGGAAAATGGCTCCAAATCTTGAAAACCTTTAAACACTCACTCATGGTAGTGTGTATAGGTTGTTGAGGACAACTTCTTTAAAAATGAAGCTTTCTTCTGTTCTATGTGGGAGTTTGAAATGATATTTGTGCTTTGCTGCACATCAGGTTGTTCTTCAGGGACAGGATTAATCTCTGCTGGTGTCTCCCCACAAGGAAATGAGAGCTCAGGGTAGAGTTTTCTGCCTATTGGACAGATCTTGCTGCAGCATGTCTGTTCGTGTCCACGTTAATACCCTGAGGCGGTTTGTGTCTCACACATGAGCAGCACGCAGAGAGGGGAGCCAGCTAATCTCCCTGATCTGAGGGATCAGCTCCTTTTCCTCCAGCTGTGACAGTCCTGTGTTTGCAGAGAGGCCCCTGGTTCCTGTCCAGGGTGACACTGCTCTTGTCACTGGAACGGTGTGTGTCAGAACCCCTGAGATCAGTCTCCTGCACTGCCTTCAGTGACCATGTGCTCTTACTGCTCCAGCCAGCGAGCCATTGCCTAAAAAGGCTGGGTGAATGAAATAGCAAGTGACAAATGGCATTGCAAGGTCTGACAGAGCATGTAGCCAGAAAAATGACCGGCTTGGTCAAACAGCTTTCAGTTCAAGCTTTAGTGTTTGTGGATAATGACTGCCTATCAAGCAGAGCTCAAAGGACAAGCCTCATTCTACTGCACTTATGACATTGCCAGCCAAGGGAAATAGATGTTTTGCACTTTAAAATAGAAATGTACCTATCAGCCTTCATTGTATGTCTTTTTCTTTTGTGTGGTGCTCTGCCCAATCTCAGTGTAGTATCTTGCAATCTCAACTATCAAAGGCTTACATATATGAAGAAGTGTGTGCATATATATATATAAATATAGGTATATAATACGTATTTAAGTGTATGTAGTATAACCATCACAGGGAACTTGCTAACCCTTCAGCTCTCGCTGTGCCAGTTGGATCTGGGTGAAGCAGGTGTACGGGGCTGGCTGCTATGTATACCATGTATACGTCAGCTTCAGACTGTCTGCAGCCAATATCTGAACTGGTCATGAGTGACACAGTCTCAAGTTATCAGAAATTGCTGCCCAGCCTGAGCCAACCACAGAGGTTTTGTTCCATCCACAGCCCGTCCTTTAGCACGTCTTCCTTTGTTGTGTGGGCTCTGTCCTGGGGCTGTTGTAATTAATCTTTGCTTTCTACAAGGCAGTGAATGTTACATAAATATGAAACAGCTTTCTCCCATCATGCTAACATAAGAGGGCATGAGCTCTTCTTTTTCAAGTGGAACTACTAGTCATCACAATAAATCTAAGAATTAACTTAGCAGCATTGTTTTCATTAAAAATAGGCTGAATTGCATGGTGGCACACTTATTTATGGTGGTGGGATTGTGGCAACATCAGAAGGCCTGAAAGTGCACACTCCCTACAATTTGGCTTTGAGAGATTAAAGAAATTCTCTAATTACTGGGGAGAAAAAAAAAAAAAAAAAAGACTAATAATTGACTGCAAAGGTCGTTCTCCCGCCCAGAGGCAAGGTCACAATGTGTGTGTCACTCTGGGTGTTTGTGTGGCATACTTTTAATTATGTTCACCTCTGGCCACTCCTTGCACTTGCTGCGCTGTCCCACGGCTAACTGATGTACTGAAGCCAAGGCTGTCTGCAGCAGGTGAATTCCAGGTTCTTTGCTGAACACAGCAATCCTGGGTCTGAATCTGGATAGCAGAGATATTGCAGGAGCGTGGATTTGTCAGCTGTGTTGCATCTACAGTAAACTACAGGGCTGCAGTAATAACAACAAAAAATGCAAAATTAAGATGCCAGCTCTGACTGCAAAACCTCTATTTCTCTATAGGCCACATAGTTGTCAGTGCTGATGCTGGTGCATGTTGCACAGAAGGGGAAATGAACACCTGCATTCAGTGTGTCTTCTGAACTGCCCCTCTCTCTTTCTTTCTTTCCTCTTCTCCCTAGCTCTGAGGGGGAATCTGATTTTAATGGCAACTCCTCCAGCTCTGAGGTGAGTGAAGGACAGACCTCGTTGCTGGAGCCCCCTGCCTGCCCAAGCCCCCCGCGCCGCTGGACATTGCTTGCCAGGAGCTCCATGGCACCAGAGGAAAGCCACAGGGCATCCAAAGTCATTGATGGTAAGTGGCATCTCCCACACCTGGGGAGCTGAAATCAGGGTTGAAGGGAGAGATTGTGAAGGAGAAGCTGCTGCCAGTGATGTGGCCAGGTTGTATTCTTAAATGATGTCTTCACTTTGGAGGATTTACGCCTTTTGGGTGCCCCGTTCTGCACATTCCTTTCTTTTTTACTCATTGGTTGAATCATACCATTTCTTTTGGTTGAGTTGCACCCAAACACATACAGTTGGCTGCAAGGCACTACCAAACACAGTGCTTCTGGGACACCTGAGGCAGTAGCACCTCACACCCAGCCTGTGGGGTGGTGAGCACTGTCCGTCTGCTAAGACCTTGGGGTGTTTTTAGCAGCCTACGCCATATCTGTGACATTAACTACGCAAGGGCAATTTTTGGAAGCAGTGGAGAGCTCTGCTCTGTTTGGTTCATTTATATTTATATATAGCTGCTTGAACTATTTATGTCCACAGAAAGCACACTGAGGGAAAGGATAGAACTGGTGGGGGGCAATTGAGAGTTTTAGGGGCAGTCTGCTTCCAGGGGAAAACTCCTTCCTGGAGCCGGAGGTTGGGCCTCCGTGGCAAGGACTGCCATGTATTAGGGCCTCGTGATGATGTGTCGGATCTGTGGAGAACCTGCTGCCTCAGAAAGTGTCTCCAGAGCTCTGCCAGGAGTGGCTGCACACCCTCCTGAGTTGGCAGCAGTAGTCCATGGGTACAGGTCTGCCCTCGGGCTGTCCGGCACTGTGGGGCAAGGGCGGCTGTGCTGGTGCAGTGTGCGGGTGGAGCAGGGGAGCAGCTCTCCAGTCAGCATATACAGGTGTAGCCAGGGGAACTGGTTTGGGGGACCTCCCCCCAGTGCCTTCACCTTATGTCCGTATTGTCAGCTCATCCCATGCACTGATAGCTCATGACTGGGACCCTGAGAAACTTGATGGGGCTTGGGGCTTGTTAATTGCATTTGTTGTTATTGCTCTTCTCCACGTGGAAAAGGCTATTTTGAAAACAACTTTTATGTCAGGAATGACATGTTCCTGAGCAGTGGTGATTCTGACTTCACTGTGTGTTTAAAATGAAAGAGTTACGTTAAATACCAGTGTTCTCAGCATCCCTGGTGAGTTTTTATACCAGAGGTGCATGTGGTGCTCAAGCATCCAGGTCCTTGGACTTGTCCAGGGCTTTGGGCAGCCCTCAAAGGCTTCCTGCTTTGCGTGAGGAGCCTTCTGCTGCGATGGAAGAGCTGGAAAATGATTTTTACTGCAGTAAACAGCCATCAGCATTCATTCCTTCCCGCCTCCCACCACCCCCGTATGTGCATTTTTAAGTGAACCAAATAAGGGGATTTTGCACGGCATTTTAAATTGACTCCTGAATAAGGAGGCCTTGTTTCGAGGGCAGAGACCCCGTGGCCCCGCGCACCGCGGCCCTTTCCAGCCCCGCAGTGCCCCCTCCCGGCCGACCCCGTGCTGGGGTGAGCTGATGTCTCTTTTCTGCTTCTGTTCAGTGCTACAGAGAGCCAACAGCTTCCACTCCACTGCCTTAAATAAGTATCAGAGTTGGAGGAGAAAAATCCAAACGAGTAAGTACAGCCTATGAAGCAATTGCTTCTTACTTGCACTGCATCCTGTATCCTTCCTCGTAAATGTCTGTTTCTTCATCTCCTTTCCTTTAGAAATTGTGAATTGGAGTTGCGAGGTGAGGAGGCTAGACTAAAACTCAACAAATATTTTATTTCCACTTTCTTGTCCTGAAAAGATCAAATTCTCCTTTTGTTTGATTGCTTCTGTCTTTATGACTAATAAGGGAAGCCACACAGCATTTATTTCTCCATGTCTAATTCATATTACATCTCCTATTCATTTACCTCTGTAGCACCCAGATAATTAAGAAACCAGCATTACTGGTTCTCTTCTGACAGTTCTGTGTGATTTGGGCTGAACCTTCTCTGCCCATGGCACTCAAACAGGAACGTGCTGAGTTCAGTAGCAATCAGGTCTGTCTGCAGTTCACCTCCGAATCTCGGGGCGGTCATTCCTTGCATCCAGGGCTATGTCTAAGCAATCTTCCTTCTGGGCTGCCCAGCCCTCCCCAGTCAAACCGCCACTGCTTGTAGCAGGGCCAGCCAGCCGCCTCAGTGCAGCTCTTCTCCCTGCAGGACTGCTGATACTGGCATGGGAGCTGGGTGCATTTACCAACATCTCCTAAAACAATTCTGTCTGTTAGACTGGAGCACTGACAACCTGAACTGTAAAACAGATGATTTGCAGGTATCCATTGTGGGAAGAACTTTATGCCTAAAAAAAACAACCAAACAAACAAAAAAGATACATCTCTCGTGTCCTGGCACCAGCTTCATAATAATGTCTGATATCTTCAGCTGCACATAAATGCTGCCACTGCAGACCTCGTGGTCCTTTCTGGTGCCACATGTCTGGAATAACTCACTAAGTCTCAGCAGATGGCTCAGGGGACTGATCTGAAGAAGATACTCTCACCAAGCTCAACATCCCTCCAAACAGGCTGTCCTCAGAGAGGCAGCTGTGGCAAAAGGACAAACAGAAAAAAAACAGGATGGGCTGTGTTCCCTGGGATTAACTGCACCCTGAGGCACGGGGAAGGACTTGCTCTCTGAGAGCGATTCATTCATTAATTTTGATTCATTTTCAGCTTGTCAATAACTGTATTACTTTGGGTTGGGTTTTTTTGCCAATTTTTTTTTTTCCCGTTGTCTTATTAAAACATCTTGTGCCTCCGAAGGGCTCTAGGGGGAGCCAGAAGTCTTTGAGAGGAAGGCTACAAACTACATGAATTTGTCTGAACTTCCAGTATGCTTTTAAAATGAGGTGTAAAGTACATTCTGCATATACTGGGAACAGAATAAAGGCAATTTTTACTCTCTGGAGGAACACTGTAAGTCATAGTTTCTATATTTAATCCACTTAATATTTAGTTACAACAATTCATATGATCATCAGTCACATTAAGGAGAAACCTGTCTCTTTTTCAGACTTACTTCCCAAAACACATATGTTTCATAAACAGCATGAGGTATGCCGCCAAGGAAAGGAAATTGGTGTCATTTCTATATTGGCCAAAGATTCAGGACAGGATATTACCTTTCAGAATCTGTAATCCCCGTCTTGCATCCATAGACAGTGCTGCACTCTCATTTGTTATCTTGGTCACAGTGAGGAGCCTCTGTGCCAAGCAGATTTTTGTAATGCCCTAGAGACTGATTTATTTTTTTTAAATCATGTTTTGAATGTTAAGCTGCAAATGTAGGTTCAGCATGTCACTGGGAATAACTCAATTATCTCTGCACAATGAGCTAGGGCGTTGTGTGAAGTGATGCTCTCACATGTACAGGCCCTGTCATTCACCTCTGCAGGAGCTGGCTATGGGAGATGCTGCTGTCCCACAGAGCCCTGGGGCTGCAGAAAGGAGAAAAGCTATTTCCTCTGTTATATGTGGTAATGGAAAAGCCATGCTGGAGTGCAGCTTCTTTCTCCAATCTCACAACCAAGTGCCTTGGGGAGACCAGGGGAGGACATCCTCTGGCTAGGGCAAACCTAGGAACTGCAGGAAGATCTCCATCAGCTGCAGAGCTGAATGGGACAGGAAGGTCACAGATCTGCAGATGTCCTGGGACATGTGGTGAAGGGAAAGGAAATCATGTTGTTAGTGGAAAGTAAGAACTGGGGCAGGATGAGATACTCTGTGAAAGTGAAAATGGAGGAGCCCAGGTTTTGTTGGTGTTTTTTTAGAACACTACTACTGGGCTCTGAATATCTGGAATTATTTGAAAGGTCTATTTCCCCTTTTTCTTTCCCCTATCCCCCTGTCTAGAAAACTCATTGCAAAAAGATATAGCAAGACTGGCTGCAGATCAGAGTTGTGGTACCCTTTTTAATTGGGTGACAAAAGCTGGATTTGTCTCAGTTCAGCTCCTTGTTGCTGGTCCCTATGGGAGTGCTTTAATGAACTCCAGCTCACCATCTCTCTTACTTCTTGACTGAGCATTAACAACTTGCATCAAGATTGGGAACATACAGGTAAAACACCAAGAGGAAAGGAAATTTGGGCTCTTTCCTTGGCTTTCCTTTTCTGAAGTCCATATGCAGGAACAGTATTCTGTGTGTTGCTTTTGTCCTGTTGTTTTTGTCCTGTTGTAGCTTTTAATTTCTGTATAGAAGAACCAGTGTTTGCACTGGGAGCCTTTGTTTCGGAACTAACAGCTGGGTTTTTGGAGTTAATAATTCAGCTATAAATATACCTGTCACATCAAAACTTGACATGGGCTTATCTTGGCTCAGGCTTACTTTTCTGTCATCCCAAGGCTATTTATTATGTCCGTTTCTCACACACACAAATATTAGATCTGCTGACTCCAGATGCAAGTTACTTACCTGCCTCTTCTTCCAGTGACAGTTTAGGTTCCAGACCTTTGGCAGTTAATTATTCTGCCTCATCCTAGAAGAGCCGACATGCTGCTCTTTGGCCTGACTTAAGAGACTGAAGAATTTTTTCTGCCCTTACTGCTTATAGGTGATTGCCTTTCTCATGACTTTTGTGTTCAGATGGCCAGCCCTCTCAGAACTACCTACTTTTCTTTGTTTCTCAGAACTAACCAAGGCTTCAGAAGTAGCTGGTTGTTTTGTCTCTGTTTTGAATGTCTGAAAGCTCTTTTAAGAGGGCTGACTTTTATAAGAAAGTTCCCCATTACTGAAAAGCTGTTTCACTTCATTCAGAAAGAAAGTAGAAAAAATCAGGTTCGTTGCTGAAAATGTCAACATGTATTATGTATAGCGTGCACACGTATGCGAGAGGCTATAAACTTGGTTACTACAGGTCAGCTCTTCAGGGTAAAACTGTATCCAGATGACTCTAACTTTTTACTGTCATTCTTTAATTGTGAACTTTATTTAAGACAAAAATAATATGAATACAAAGGTAAAAATGTGTGTCTTTGGCAGATTTCCCTCTACTGTCTAACAAGAAGCCTGGACTACGCTGGAAGGACAGCTCAGCCAGCTGTCAAAGCAGTCTTGGAGAGGATCACCCCCAAGCACAGGTAAGAAGGAGAACTGAACAGAGCAGCACAAGCCTAACTACTCTTGGGATGTTTGCTCTCAGCAGGCTGAGTGTCCTCTGCGATTTCAGATAGTTTCAGTCCTCACAGTCAGCAACTAAAGTTGGAGTCATACTTTTGTTATACACAGGGAAAATATTTTGATGCTCTGATTGAGATAACCATTCCCAAATCATGTGGCAAAGTCACTTTTTCTTCCTGTGTGAGTAAGACTTTGATTGTCCTGAGGTTTGGATACAAATGTGTTATGTCAGCCCACATGTAGGCATCTCCAATTTGCCCTTCTCTCACAGCACACGACTTAGTTGCCACTGAGATTTGTTTTGTGCCACAGTTTCATCCCAAAGAGCAAACCCCAAATCTCTGATCCTCAGTGCTCTGGAGCTGGCTGTTGGTCTGTGCACAATCTCCTAGGTCTGGACAGGAAGTGGGTCTTCATGTGATGCATACTGGCCAAAAACTGTATGTCAGCAGTGAGGGGGTAAGTTGGTATCACTCCCAGGTCACTTAAATGTAACCTCTCTGATGGGAGGCAGAGCAAATCTGAGAACCACGTTAAGACACCAAGTAAAGACTTACATAGTGCTGGCCAGGGGAGCCTGGCACTGGAAACTGGGGTATTTTAGTGTGGTATTTTAGCCCTTAGTGTGCCCATCTCTAATGTTTACTGCTTGCATCCATTGGGCAGAAGATGCCTTTTCCTAATTTGCAGTAAGCACTTGACTCCATACCTCTCACAGCATCTTCATCTTACTTCAAGGCTTAGGGTACTCTTTGTATTTTCTGCTTTTGGCACTGCAGCAGCAGTAGTGCCCAACAGTCCTAAGCAGAGCACAGTCAGTCCCCCTTGCAACTTGGAGCCAGGCCATGTCCTCTGTGTCCTAGCCTGATGTCCTTACTCTTGGATCAGAAGTGATTGGAATTGCTTGACCTCAGGCTCTGCATTATATAAAAAAAAAAATCAAGTCTTCCACATCCATGGTGCCAGCTGTATTCTGGTCTGGGACAATAGGGCCAGGAAGGAAATGTCCCACGAGAGCAGAGCAGCACAGTGCTGTCTGGTTGCTGTTCACAAGGAGGGGTGAGACCATGCTGCAGCTTCCACTCATTGTACAGTACTTGAAAGCCTTTGTCTTGCTCTTACAAGAGAATTTAAGAAGGCGTTTGTGTGTTTATTGTTGTTTATCACATTTTATCTGAGAGCCTGGCCAATGTTCATTTCAGTCATCAAACACAGCTGTGAAGTAGAGGGTAGTCACTATTACCTTCCTGTGCGTCTAGAAATTGAGAAGTCTGATTATTGGCTATACCCATATGAATTTGGGAGTCTGGCACAGGAGTGGAAACAGACATTAAATATTCTAGCCAATAGTAATCACACAGCGTTGCAGATAAAATGGCCCACTTCTAAAAAGTTAAAAAAATCTCTAGAATTGGTCTTTTGGCTTAGTAAAGTAGACACTTGTTCTTGTTACTATCAACAGCAGAAGATTTCAGTGCTTGGAATAATAAATTTAAGTCTTAACCAAAAGAAAAATCATCATAAAAGAAAACTAATTGAATTGTTTAAACTACCATCTTACATTTTACAGTTATTTCTGGGTCGCTTCATTCATTCCAACCTGCATTATCTGAGTATGCAGTATTATAAAAGCAGTTGGAGAGAATGGATTATGGCCACATGTGCTTTCTGTAAATTCCAACATGATGCAACAGAAATGCACACAGGAGAATAGAGCAGATTCACTTTTGGTTATTTTCTCATATTTAGGTCTCTTTCTTTCCAAGAAAAACATTACAGGCAATTCATAAAGAGATGGCAGGTTCTTAGTATGAATTACATTATTTGTAGGCTGTTAAATCTTCCAGTAGAGCATCAGTTCTCCACTCTTAGAGCAATATTATTCTTTTATGGAAAAAAAACCCATTTAGTTTATTGTCAATTACATATGTTTGTGTGTGGATGTACACAGTAAACATGAAAATTAATTTCTAGTATTACGTTTAGATTGAAATTGATTAAAGTATTGCATAAAAGATGCTCTAGACTGTGTTTTTTCCACTGGCACAATTTTATTTGTTCACGCATTTGACAGTTGGCTTCTTACAAGAAACCACCAGAAGTTACGAGGGGACATGTCAAACCCTACAGCCCTGAATTTCAAAGAAAAGCCAGAGAGAGGCCTCAAGATGTCCATCCCCATGTGCCTCGTTGTCCATTTCAGAGCAAGGTCAAAGGTTCTCCACAGATCTCTACTGGGAATGGGGCATGGGCTGCTGGTTTTTCTGAGTGTGAAGATACAGATGGGGACGCTGGGACATATACAGGCCAGGGCTGGAATGAAGTAAAAAAGAGTTGTACCTCTGAATCAGAAGATTTTAATGGGAATACGAAAGTGATGTCATCTCTGCATCTGAAAGAAAAAGATGAGAAAAATACAAGGCACCTAGAAGAAAAGCTTGAGCAAGAGCAAAAGGAAGCAAAAAAAAGGCTGGTTCTTTGCACAGAACAACAAGCTATGTATGATTCAAATGGGGTGTACTTAGGTGGAACCACACTGCAGTGTCAAAGCAAAAAAATGTTGGGGATTTCAAAGGAGAAGAATACTGAATGGAGAAGAGGTGTTTTCAAGCCATCTGGTTGTCCTGTGCCTCTCTTATTTGTAGATGATGTGCCACCAGCTTTGCCAGTTGACATGAAAGATGCTCTGAGGAGTCCAGACAAAACTGCCAAGGAGCATTCAGCTGGCCAGCCAAAATCACCACTGAGGCTCATTGCCAATGCGATCAGGAGGTCCATTTTGGAACCTCTAACTTCATCTCCAGAAGGACTAAAGCAGGATTCGGACAGCAAAACCAAAGCCTCTTCAGAACAAGCTTCTTTCAGCTTCCCTAGTATTCTTGGCCATAAGAACACTAACAACAACAGAGCAAGTAACAGTCAGCTACAGGAGCTTCAAGTAAGGAAGCAGGCAGGAGAACATTTAGGATGTGGGAGCCTTCTCTCAAGTGCTTCTAAGTTTTCTGCCAGCTCTGAAGAGAGATCTCCAAGTGACACTAAGGACGTGTCCTTCCCAGTCTACAGTCCTCACAGCAGGCCTTCCAAGACCCCTAATATACCTCAGAAACCAACTTGCACTAGGATGGAGGATGTCCCAGGACTCCTAGAAAAGTTTACTTTTAATGAAACTCCTTCAGTGGCTCCCAAGGATGATGTATTAATCTGTAATGAAAAGTACCCTCTTGCTTCATCTCAGGAACCCTGGAACACCCCTAAGGACAGCCTACATGACTCTGCACAGAAGGGTAGTCTTTCACTCTTTGAGAGACTAAGAAGTAAGATTTGTGAAAGAGAAGGGAATTTCTCCGTGTCATCTCTGCCTTTCATGAATGACCATTCTGCAGAAGACAGGCTACATTATCCTTCCACAGGTGAGAAACTGAGTGGGATTATTTATTCCTAGTACTTAACATTTATAAGGTTGATCTGCTGTCATGTTTTATGTTTCTTTTATAGTTACTATCTACGTAAGAAGGCTTAATAAATCTTCCTTAAGGTTTTGGAGTTGCTTCTGGCTTAAAGCTGTTGCCAGAAGTAAGGTGAATATGCAAGCAGTGCACAGCATGCTGGACCCATGTTTGCTTACTTCAGATGTATTTGAAACAGGAAAACATGCTGGAGTAGGAGCAGTAGAGCAGAATGGGATGATGTGCAGAGCAGTTGCTGTCATGACACTGAGTGCAATGTGGAGTATGTTTGATACCTTCTGCATGAGAAGCTCAGGCACTGAAACAATTGGGCTGCAGTAAGAAGCTTTGCTGCAGATGTCCCTTTAATCTTGCTTACTGTCACAGTGACCAATCTGTAGGCATGCTTTGGGAGTGTTGTGATGTCATTAATGTCCCCCACTCCTTTTCTTGAGAGGAGATAGCACCTTACTGACCTGCTGTGACCTATTTGCAAGTTATTAAAGCCATCCATTTTCAAGTTTGCTTGCAAGAGCACGCTTAATATTGAAACTGCAGATAAGGTTAAGAAATACTGATGTCAGACCAAGAACAACTGGTGTAATCTGAGTGTAGGCTGAGAAAGAATTAAGTGCAACACAATGTAAAATATAAGAGGTAAGAGAGATACACCTGCCTTTTTCTAAAATCCATCTTTCCAACAGCCCTCCACAGAAGGCTGCAGTTATCTAGCTCCATAACCTGTTGAATTTTATTGGCATTCTTACTTGTGCCTTATTTTATGAAATTGTAACCCACATTCAGCATGAAAATAATGATCTGTATGTAAAATACTTGTACAAGTAATGGAGCGTATGTGAAGTTGCTGAAATGTTCCCCTTGAGCTGCCAGACCCCTTTGTGGTACTCACTGAAATTGACAGAATAACTTGGGCTCTCATTCCTGGACTTTGAGATCAGAGTCTTGAACCTCCTTATCTTGCAACTTGCAAAACCACACTTTCCCATTAAGCCAGAGGATGCTGAGGGCTGCCCCGAGGCCACAAAGTTTTGGTACTATTCACACTTGTCACCCTATGGTCTTAAATGAAAAGCTTTTTCTGAATCTATACCAAGTAATCACCTGTAGTCTAAGCCAAGTTGACTTGTTCTTAACTAAATATATTACAGCAATTGATACATTCAATTCCTACAAGAATGGAAAAGATTCTTGTTAGGTTTGAACAATACTGTACTTTATTTGCATTTGAAAATTTTTGAAGACATGATGATTTAATAACGTGCTGCATTCTTCTGCTGTGCAAGCCAAAAGAGGAATTATTAAATTATTAGTCACTGAATATGAGCATTGCAAATTCTATTCAGAAGAAAAAGATGCAGCTTGGAGATCTAGCCATTTGCCCAGTAATCTGGCATCTTCAACATTTCGACACTGCAGCCCCTTGAACTTTTTCAAACATTCATACTTTGGGAAAGTCAAATTAGTAGAGAGCACTCTACTCTGAAATGTAGCTTGTCTCATACTGGCACTTGTCTGAGGCCCAGGCTTGGCAAATTTCAGTCATGAACTGCTGATGAGTTTTGGTCTATGTTACAAATCTTGATTTTTATTTTTACAGTTTACCATTGATCTTAGAAAATTTATTTTCTTTAAAGGAAAAAAAAAGTACAGCAACTTTCAAGGAACACTTTAATGAGACTTGGCTTATATTCCTCTTGGTTCTTTGCAGTAGTGTTTTTCTGTCTTATTCAGGGCCAGACAGTCTTGTTCTGTGCAAGTGTGCTTGGTCTTTCATTACTCTGCTGATTTCTCCCTCGATGGGATGTTGGTTGTGGAGCCAAAAAATGAGCTGAGTAATAAAAGTCCCTGGGATTGAGATGAGACTGGAGAAGCTCATTGAAGAGAAATCCACTGAGGATTAACCAAGTGTGTAGAAACCACATTCAGTTCAGTGAGCTCCTGAACTGAAAACGTGCTTGAAGGCTGGGTGAGTTATTAAGGGGACAAATCACACACGACTGCCCAGTGTTTATGGTGCTGTTTTAGACATCCACTGTTGGAGAGAGACGAGAAGGACCTTCAGTCCCACTCCACACGATTACTTGTATGTTATGTTGCTCATCTTTCCCTATGTCTTATCTGTTACTTCATCTGCAAATACATGTCCAGATGTCTTCCGTGTGCTGTTGACTTCTGCATTTCAGACCCAGATGTCTGCCCAATCTAAAACTGTATTCCTACCTTCTGTCATCTCCTGCCAACTGTTCAGCCACCAACTGAAACTCAGCATGATGAAAAAGAGATCTTAATTACTCAGCAGCAGATTGCCTGTCATTCAAGCTTACTCCTGAAGTTACATCTTCCATATGAGTAATCTCAGCTTCTTATCCAGAGCTGATTTAAAGGCTTTCTGGCTGTTTTATAAGAGTTATTTCTCCTTACTAAAGTAGTGGGAATTCATGCACTGATTTCAGTGAGAAATTGTTTTTTTTTAAAAATCCTATTTGAATACACAGGTGTCCCCAAACAGCCAGGTGTTCTACTTTGATCAATAAAACCGGTCAGTCTGGTGGCTAACTGATCTCCTTTAAGCCCACTTGCCCTTTTGAAACTTAAAGAAAAGTAACAGCCAAAGGCCTGTTTTACTTATAGGTATTAAAAATCTTTAATACCACAGAAACAACAACAACAAAACAACTTAGAACCAAAACAAGCCAGTTTGTATGATAGAGGTGCAGTTACTATAGCATCTGCCTTCTCTTGCTGATGGCTGTATGCAGTAGCCAGCTGTCAGATATGTTTGCAGTGAGATACAGGGTTTAGAGTAGGAGTTGCATGAAAACATTTTTAGAATTATCCTTCAGAGTAGATGAGAGTTATTGCAACTCAATTTATGGCTGTTTGTTGTTTACATAGCTGATTTAATTAAGCAGAATTACTGGTTCAACTGATTAAAAAAAAAAGATTAAACATATTATGAACTCACTTTGCTATTTTTGTGCACTTTTAGATTGAAAGGGGATTATTTGCAAATAGTCTTGTGCACAGTTCCTATTATTGCATCTTTGTACAACTGAAAATGTTTGCAATATTTGTGTCAGCTAGGACACTCTTATTTCAGTGATTTCATGTTTTAGGGAATGCTAGAAGATTGAATTACATGTCTGAGATCCCAAGAAAAATCTCTGGAAAAGCAGAGGTCTGGAGCCAAATCACCCTTGATTTCTTCTTGCCTTTCTTTCATCTCCTACCTGATGCAAATTCCTATCTGGCTTGGGACACCAGTGTCCTAAGAGATGTGTCCTTTTGCCTTTCTCTTCTGTAAAACACTGATGTACTCAAGGGCCATGATTAACTCCTGTAACCTTATAAAAATATGCAAATCCTGGACATTTACATAGGAAGCCAACAGATTAATGTAACATTATAAAAATTCTGCTATAAAAATAGTTCCTGTTTCAAGAATTTCGGTGTAGTTAAACCACAGTCATTAGTGTGACACAGAATTCTTCCAGGAAGCAGAGGTGAGCTGTGATGTGCATAACTTCTGCAGTGGGTCTTCCTCTGTAAATCTCCAGGACAGTCAGCAGTCGGCTTCCTCCTCCTACTGAAGCTGTAACCTTCTCAACGTGTCTTTATGACACTTCCCTCTCCAGAGAACCTCAGGTTTTCAGAAAAACCAGTAGCCTGGATATTGAGAGGGATTTGCAAAAGTACTGTACATGAGTCCAGATGCTCCTACTGAATGCAGTGAGGGTTTTCCTACTGATGGCATCCAGCGCAGGGCCCTTCGGCCAGAACAAAGTATCTTTGGGACTCACCCTTAGATTACCAAGCTATAATGCACTGGCCGTAGAAGAAATTGTATCTTTACAGACATAGTTCATCTTGTATCTTACAACATGCAGACATGAGGATGTCAAATCCCAGTATCGAGAACTGGAGACTTTCTTCAGCTTTCTACTCTGAGATGTATTCTGTGTTGCTGTTAGAACCAATTACAATTAATAATAGTAACAATTAATGGTGACTTCCCTGTGACTTGACAGCTGTATGTTAGGCGTGCTGGGAATGTCTTTTGATGGCACTCCTGTTAGTAGCTGTTAAATATAAGGCGAGAAAGGTTTAATAAAAATTTCAGAAACGTTTGTTCCTTTCCCCTCTAATGAAGAATTAAGAATAATGAAACATAGCTCACTGTTCTTGGCCATCCGAAGACGTGTCAGCTGGGAAGGAAAAGCTCTAGTGTAACATAGATTAATTTAGAAGGGAGGTAGATGGTTGAATTCTTCAGAAATAAGGGAAGAATAACTCTTGTTTTGAAGAAGTGAAATGGAGGAAAAAAGAAAGACAAGAAGAGCTGAGTTAGTATTTGGAAAACATGTATGTCATTGAGAACTTCTCAGTGGCTAGCAAGCCTTAAGGCTTGATGTCTTTGAAGAGAGAAATTACTTGTATCTGATTTGACTACGCCAATTCTAAATTTCAAATTTAAATGAGCAATTAATGTAAAATGCCCTAAGTAGAACATCATCTGGAAATTCCTGGTCCAAATTCCCACAGCTGGCAGCGAAATTCTGCCTATTCCACCCCTCTGGAAAAAGGGCAAGTGAAAAGCTTAATGCTCAGGCATCTATAGTAGAATAGGTAGATGCTGTAATACAGAACAGTGGTTTCTTCAAAATTAGAATGATTTTTTTCTAGTTCTGCATAAAGCAGTTTGTTCATTGAAGTATTTTCTTACTATGCTCGTTATTATTGTCTTGAAGTTGAAATCAGGACAATTTCAAGTATGTTTTTCTGCTCTTTCCTGGAACAAAGAAGCCAAGCAAAAATAGTTGAGGCAAACACAGAGTGGCTGCCCCTTTACTGTTGGAAGTAAGGCACTGTTTCACTAACTCTGTAGCCTGAAATGTGGCAGTGCCATGCATCTGAGAGCCAAAAACTCACCTTCCTTACTCCAGTTTTTTCACTATTCACTGTGTGTTCATGGGGTATCTCTCTGGAGCACCAAGGTTTTCAGTTTTCCATGTTGTATTAGTGGAGAGCTCCGGTGATGTGAAACGTGCGTGCAGTGCGTGGGACAGAAGCCATAACCCAACACACACAACTCAGGCTATGGGACAACATGTATGAGTGGGTTCCCAGGGCTCACCTTCCTGGAGACTTTGCAGGTGGTGAACTCCCTGGCAGCTGCTTCTGGTGGCCACTGTCTCCCAAGACTCAGGATGCAGCATCCCTTCACAGGCTGTTTAGCTGTTTAGGAGCAGCTTAAATGGCTTTTCTCTGCAGAGCGAGGTGCTAGCACATGGCTCTCTTAGCTGACAGGCATTGGCAAGGCTGTGGACATGAATTTATTCCAGGTCCTCATGCTCATGAGATAACCCTTGATGAAGGTCCTTGGAGATGTCAGCAATCCTCTCTCCGTTCCAGAAAGACACCTGAGGAGAGGCGGGTGCCTCTGCTATATTTATATAGAGAAAAAACAGTCTGTTTTTTCTCTAGACTTTGTAACACTGCTTAAATTATTGATGTTGCTCAAAGAGAAGAGCATGGAGAAGCCGTCACTTATTCCCAGAGCAGAGAGAAGAAAGGGAGCATGTAATTGCTTGCATGGCCAGCACTGCTGGGGCTCCCCAGAAGGTTTGCCCATTGCATATTATGATATGTATTGATTTCACCCTCAGTGTGACTGCAGGATAGTTACTGTGCTAGTTTGGTTGTACAAAGAAATGCGAAATAGGTGAATTCACTCCTCAAAAGAAATAGTGAATGCAGTACTGCCCATGCCTTCTTCTGTCTCCTGCGCTGGCAAGGCTGGCTGTCCTTGCTGGCCTGCCAAAAAACCCTTTGAGCTTGCAGCTCCACTGAAGGCAAGGACTGGGTGCTTCCAAAAATGAAATGTTTGGGGGAAATATCAGAATTTTGTCTCAAATTACTTGGATTTGCTCTCATTGCTTTACCTCCTGGGATGAACATGTTTCTTGGCTCCAGGTTTTAAATCAGGTTTTGAGACAAAAATGCCATCTCAGGACTGAGATGAAGGAGAAGGCAAAAGAAAGAGGAAGCATTCCCACTTAGCGAGTGGGAAGTGATTTTAATCTGAATGCAACTTGCACATAGAAAGCTAACTGTTACCTGGCAGATAAAAATAAATAAATAAATGCTGGCTTTAAATAAGGTACGTTTCCAAGATGTTGCCCAGCTGTTAATCATTAACCCTATAGCAGGTTGAAGTGTAGAGACAGATGTTCCAAAAGCAGTTTTATTTTCTTAAATAAAGAGAATGAAGCTATGAATTAGACAAATTAAGAAGAAATTCAAATATTTACACCCAGTTGAAACAAGATGCTGGGAAAACAGGCATTATAAAATTGCTGCAATTAAATGTAATTTAATTTGTAATTCTGAAAGCGTGCTTCCTCTACAGGCAGCCTTTGAGTTTTCCTTATGAAATGCATTGTTGTGATGTATGGATTTTCCTGACTTATTATGGCATTTTAATCAACAGTTCAATGATGTGATAATATTCCTAAAGCAGAAAAATAAGTGACGTTTGTTTAGACATAATTAATTAAATATTTATGTTGCATGAGGCTGTGTGATAAAGCCTTGTTCTCGTAGTCCATTTGCTTCTGATTACATTTGTGATTTTTTTCTATGACCAGACATTCTGACGCCAACTATTTTACACTGAGCAGATGTCATGTAGTAAAAATGGGTGCCAGATGCTACAAGCCACATAAGGGTAATTTGTTTAAGAGCTGGCTCAGACTTTTTGCATTCAATTACACTGTATAGCGAACCTTACACAATCATTTGGGTAATATGGCTAACTTCAGATATGCATTTTAATGAATGTTGAATGCATTCAGAACAGCATGCTACGTGGAGAGGGCTCAAGGAATTAATTTGTTTGTCTACAATACCTAAAAAAAAAAAAAAAAAAGATATACCAGGCAGGGTTTTTGACAATGACCAAAATCCAATTAATACAGTGAGCCAAATTTCCAAATTGCTCTGGGTGCTGCTGATTAGGACCTGGGGCAGGTGCAAAGTGTCTGTATATGTTAAAGAATGGTATTTTTTGCCTCTTTAATGGCTTTGTTCCCTCTACTTAGGATGTGAACTTCCACCTGTCAGGAAGCAGACTGTGGAGTATTTTACTTCTTCCTCTGATGAAGATGAATTTGAATTCAACCGTTCATTAACATATAAGGTAACCTTTTCTTTGAAGCAAAAATACATTTCCTCACTTGGACTATATTTAAGATTCATATGACTTTGTTCTAAAGCACTCCACGATTTCTTTAAATGGGGATTGGAACATTTTATCACCGAGGGTTACATGCCATGGATGTAAAATACACTAAAACTGTGACAGATGAACATGAAAATTTTTCTCCTCCTTGAATCTGTAATTCCCCCAGGTTACACCAGTGTTGATGGAGAAGGTCTTAATTGGACAAACAGACATGTTTAACTGAAACCACTTTGAAGCAGTATTCATAAGTGGCTTTAATATGTAGCCCGACAAGCAAACCATTGAAAAAATTAAACCAAACAGATGCAGATTTCCCGTGGGGAAATACAACTTCATTTGTGAGGCAGTACAGGCAGATTGCATGAAAAACTCTGTGTTTACTTTAATCAGCATGGCTACATGAGCTGGAAAGTCACACCCAGACCACATACATGGAAAGGATGTGCTGTACACTGGCATCTCCCAGCCCTAACACAGCTCATGTGTCTTTCTGGAGCAATGGATTTAAATCACCAGTGAACTCCTGATACCCAACTCTGACCTGAAGAAGCAGCTTTTATTGCCTGACTAGCTCATCAGATAAACATTAAACTTTTTTTTCTGCAGAGAGAATATAAGTAAGTGGAAGTTATAGTTTAAGGTGGCCCTTTCATTTGTTGCCTTTCGAGGGCAAAAGGAGAGGATCGGCTCTGGAGGAAGCAATGCAAAGCAAAGTGCAACAGTGTTTGGCTGCATATCCCACCTGTGATGCTGGATAAGGATGCACTGAGATTGCAGAAACCCTCTGAAGCAGAGCAGATTTTGGAAAAGTTATCAACAAATGTAGGAGCAACCAGCATTTAAACTTTTTGTTATCCTAGAGCACCTTCAGTTCATTTTTAAGAGAAGACATTCAGATATGAAATATTTCATGGCACATAAGCATTTTCAGTTCTCTTCCTCGTACCACTGTTGCCCACTCTACCCACAGTTTGTCTGGCACTGTGAGGCAGCATGGAAGTCCCCCAACTCACTTTGTCTCTCTAAGTTACCTCCAAGTACCTCTGTTTAGCCAGTGCCACTGTTTTTCACTGATAAAACTTTGTGAAAAAAATGCCAGTGGCTTCCTGGCCTGTTAGTTTTTCAGCAGTCTTGTCTACTGTGCCCATATATCCTGTCTCCTCCTGAGTGAGAAAACCACAGCCTTGAAGCACTTCCAGAGAGCTTAGACCAAGAGCAAGGTGAAGCATTTCCCCAGCAGCCTTGTAGTGCGTGCTCTCTTCCCACTTTCATTGCACTGCACAGGTGTGAGTTACAATCAAACCAGCTAGATTTTGAAAGACCTGTTTCTACATGTAACACTTACTGGAACCATCAGAGACAGCATTCTCACCTCAGACTGAATTTTCTACTCCAGCAGTGGGGTTGAGTTTTCTTATTCCAGTGCTTCTCACTGCCTGTGCCTGGCTTCTCCCTCAGGTACGTAGTGTCTGCACATGCCATAGGCAATGCTGCTTTGTGTACAGTCCTCCCTATCATTTGAACCTTTCTATTGGTAAAGACACTTCATGCTTAGTGTTGCAGAGGGCTCTGTAAAGTTTCAAAGCTCATATAGGGAAGTGCTTGAAGATATTCCCTACACCAGTGTTTTCATTTCAGTGAGGCTGCCCAAGCAACTTGCAGTGTCTTACTTTGCTCTGTGCAGGGTAGTTGGATTAGACGATCTCCAGAGACCTCTCTGAGTCTTAGTGATACTGTGATTCTGGGAAAGGCTTGTGGAAGCATTTGGTGGCATACTTGTACTTTGATTGTTTGTTGTTGTGTTGGTGTTGTTTTTTTCCCTTTTATAGGCTAAAAGATCTCTTAGAAGGAGAAGAAAACTGGAGAAGGAGACAAAACAATTGATTAAACAAGAGGAGCTGAAGAGACTTCATAAAGCACAGGTGACAGTGTTGCTCACAAATGGACATTTTTCTCCCAGGAGTGCTTGGCGAGGACAGGGGTGGAAAATATCTCCTCTGCGCCCTTGCTCTTCACTGGAGCCCACTGACTACCACACTGAAATCCACCCAAAATATCATGTGGCAGGGCTTCACACCTCTGTGTGGCAAGTCCAAGTGTGCCCCAGCAGATTGTCACAGCTTTGTAAGTATGCATAAGTGCATGAAAAGGAGCAGTAGTGACTGGCAATAGCAGTAGAACACATTGATTTTGAAGGACAGAGAGAGAAAAAGGAAATGTCATCCCCTGAGAAAGCAAGAAGCTCAGCTATCATCCTGGCACACAACCAGGACTCTGGTACAATAGAGCGAGGGATTTTATACTGATTTATAACTGATTTTTTTAAATGCTGATGCTGGGTCAGTTCAGTTTATTCAGACCCTGAAAAGCAATTGTGTTTGTTGAAGTCAGAGTTCTACATCATCCTCTGTTGTATTACAATAGCAAGGGGATGGTTTTGGATGGATCCATGTCTCTAACCTAAAGAAAAGAACAATTATGTTATCCTTTTTATTTTGACAGATGTAAATGATCCCGAAGTAATATTATTTCCTCTCACTGCTTTATGGAAGTAATCAAGTCCAAACATTTTGAACTGTCTTTCTTGTTTGCTGAGGGCTGGGTTTGGTATGCCCCAACACAGCCTGAAGTGGAAACTTCAGTCTTATAAAGGTGTTTTGTGTCCGTTATCCATTAGGCACCTCTGAAAATACCCACAGTATACTGGGGTTCTTTCAGTATCTGAGATACTTCTCTAGCCACATTTTGGTGCAGATGGTGGAATTGTTAAATTGCTTAGACGACAAACACACGTAATGACTTTGCATATCCCGTGACTCCTCAGAAGTCTCTTCAAGCTGTTTCTCTAACCACTGAAGCTACCTTTTGTCTCTGAATTCTTAAGCCACGTCTGCAAATTTTCTATCTTTTCAATTTTGCAGGCAATCCAGCGCCAACTAGAAGAACTGGAGGAAAGACAGAGAGCACTGGAGGTTTTTGGTGTTCAGTTGGAGAGAGAACTCAGAGGAGAATCCGGTAAATGAAGGAGTGTTCGTTCTTGATAGTTTTGGGTTTTGGTTGTTTTCTCTGTTGTTTTTTGGTTTGTTTGTTTTAAGAAGAGAGTTTTTATTTTTGTCATAGAATTCAGTACAAAATTTTAAATGAAATATGGAAGGAGAGAAATCCTTGTTTACCCCTTTCCTCAAACTCTGTTAGCTCAAGCAGCCTTTAGCTGAGCATTGTAGCATTCTTTTGATTATATATATATATATGATATAGCAACAGCAGCCTGCAGTCCCACCACTCCAAATAGGTGAGAGATAATAGGAGCATCATCCTACATGAGGCTTTCACTTGCCTGAACCAACAGTGCCAAGTGTCCTGAAACATGGTGCTGCTCTCCCAATGCTCCCCAGCACTGGCAGGGTGAAGCCGGGGAAGCCTTCTGCAGCAGGGTGGGACAGGACAAAAGGGGATGAGGGAAAGATTTGTGTGTGTAAGTGGCTTCATGGGAGCCTTTATTTCTGTGCCAAAAGGGTTCTGGGGAGCAGACAGCCCAATTGAAAGCATCTGTTTATCTTTGTTTTAGAAAAGTGACCCTCAAGCTTTTGGGGCATGCAGTTACACAGCACTGGATATGTTTTGGCACCTGACCTTGTCATCTTAGTTAGGAAACCTAGCAAAATCTCTACACACCAGATGTTTTAATGCCATATTTCTTAGCAGTTATTGCCCGTATTCTAACACCAAACTGTCCAGTTTAACAAGAGTATTTTATGTTTATTAGCAACTTTCCTATAACTAATAGTTCTTATTTATTTAAATGTTATTTAAAAGGCTAGAAACCATTTCTTTTTCTTAAACAAAAACACTACAATTTATCAAATAGCACCCAGTGTTTCTCATCTGTGAGAAACATTCCTAAGACTGTGAGGACTGCTATATTAGCTTTGTTCCTTACTACTGATTTCAATGAGAGTGGCTGGCTTGGAAGCTAGAAAAAATATGAGGAACAAGAGATTTCTAGCTCTTGGGATAGATGCAGAGTACTGGGATGGATGGCCTAGAGCTACCTCTTGTTTTGCTGTTTTGACAATCGCATTTCCTAAAGAAGGCTATCTGCCAAGAGATCGATGCTTCTCATTCTCTTCCCATCCTCAGTAATTGGATTGCCCTCATTAAGGTGAAAGTAGCATTTTTTCTCCCTGTTGATTGTTTGCGTGTAGGTGGCCAGTTACAAATAGGGCAGATACTGAAATGTAGGATGTTACTGTCTCTCAATAGCTCTTCTGGTGCAAAAGCATGGAGCTGTAAGTTTCCCAAACAAAAAGTAAGTGCTTTGTCACTTGAATCATATGTGTAATGATGCAGGAATCAGTGAGTTCAGTGTTCCATTTGACCTTCTTAAAAATAATGGGCATTATTGTTTAATGAATGACCAGTGTTTATTAGGTTAAGTTGTATTTAAGCAGGTCTGTGCTTATGTAATTCAAGTGGTTTAATAGGTATTATTAAGGTGATTAGAAAACGATCATGGTTCAGCAATAATATTGAGCTGGAAAGGTTGTGAATAACCAAATTTAGAGACAGGCCTGCAAACACTGGTCTTCAGTGACATTTACGCAGCTCTCCTTTAATAATTCTGTAGGCAGAGGATGAATGGCCCCTTTGTTAGCTGGGGTTATTCATTAGCTCCTCAGCTGAATTAGAAGAGAACATGCGTGGGTGTGAAACAACTGCCATGAAGACTGATGAGCAAAATAAGGCTTTCATGATCTTCTAATTGTAGTGACAATCCATGCTTTTTTTTTTTAAAAGAAAGAAAGAATATCAATCCTATGAGTATTTTTTCATGGCCCTTATTCCCTTTATTCTGATTCTAAATACCGAATCATAAATAATTAATGTATCACTGCTTTGTTTTCCACTGACATTTGTGGAGGCTTATAGAGATCTTTTGCCTACAAGAAAATACAGAAATAAAAATCCCCAAGCACGTTTTCCACTGAAATTAGCATAGCCAATCAATTGACTAAAAAATGAGGAATTCATGAGGAATGGTGGTAAAGAAGAAAATCTGTGTAGACAGAACATGGAAAAAAAAATCCAGCTCTGATTTGGAATGTGAGCAAACATCTGCATGTATGAACCATTTTTGATTTCATAAGCATCTATCCAAGGTTTCTCAGAACTTCCAACAAAGTCAAAAGAAATCAGCTGAAAACCTCTGTGATTAAGGAATACGAGGTTTAGACGTTCTTAGGGAGGAGCAACTTGCAGGTCCCATCTGTGGGTAACACAGAGACAACAGAGCATTGCTTTGTGGATAAAGGGTTGATGGTAAAAGGCAGCCACAACCTACTCTCAAAAGCAATGAATGCTGAAATAGCTATGATGTAATGAGAAGAATATCCAGTTTTCAAATGGGATCAAATGGGTTACAGTAGATTTGGGCAAACCAGAAGGAAAATTTTGCTTTAGCAATGCTATTACAAAAAGCCATCATGGCTAACAAAACAAATTCTCTAACCTTTAAAAAAAAGATCTGTCTTGCTACCTTGTGTTGAACCTGTAAGAAGCTACCATTAACACGTCCCAACAAGAACTGCTCTGGCAGTCACTCTAAGAAATTTTTATCATCGTTTGCTGACCTGAAAGACCCAGTAGAAACACATCCTTTACTGCCAGTTTTTTATGGAGTTGGGCAGAGATCAGGCCAACTTTTCACTTTCCTGTTGCTTCATCCTCTTGTTTCATGGTACCTTCAGACTGGGGTCAAATCCCAATGTGAAATCACCAAACACTGTGCAAGCTGGCATGGCTCCTGATCTTGGCACAGGGGCCCACACACTTGTGATGCTCGCACAAGCTGACCCAGGCCCTCTGAGATGACAGCGCCTGCCTGTAGTTCTTCATCAGCACAGGGATCATGTAGAAAGGTGGCTGGGTGCTTCTGTTTTGTGGGGGAAAAAAAGGTGAAAAACATGAAGTGAGGAGCATGTTAAAAAAAACCTCAAGGAAAATAAATAACTAAAATAAATAAAACAAATTCCTCTCGAAAGGTGAATAGCCTCAGCTTGATTAGGAGTGTCATTGGACTTAGATATTCTCTTGACAGGCTTGACTGAGGAATACTGCTGGTAAAATCAGCTTACCTGCTCATTTGCAGATAGGTTTGCAAAGGAAAAGGAGAGCAATGCTTAAGCAGGAATCCATTTCTGATTAACACAGGTAGGGAAGTTACTTACCGTCTCCTCTCATCATTATATCCTGCTAATGCAACAAATGCTCACTCCAGGAAGATTGGATGAATATGAAGGTGGATGTCTGGGGAGGGCCATACGAAATGGCACATGCCCTGCCCCACACTCTGACCTGCCACTGGAGAACTCCTTGCCAAAGATTTTTTACAGGCTACGTTTTAGAGCAGTAAAGGCTCTTAAGTGGTAGAGGAGGAATCTGTGCTGCTCTTTAGTAAAATGGCCTCAGTCTGTGCACTCTCTGGGAGATAAACATCTCTTCTTACATGTATGCACAGCGTCAACCAGTAATGACTTAACTCCAATTGTTACAAAACCACCCCAGAATAATAGATTTTTCTGGTGCCACAATCCTTCCTGACAATTGAAGCAAATGAAGATTTAGAGGCCTGTTGGCAAATGAATGAAAATATGTAGGGAACCTGATGGTGCTTGTGCTGCCCACTGGAAACAGGGACTTGGGTGATACATGCCAGCAAATTCATCTTAATCTGATCATGTTATCAGATATCTGTCTATATAGACAGATCCAAAGTCTGCTATTAACCAAGAAGGCAGAATTATCAAAGGCAGAACTAAAAGAAAGCGAGTGACCATTTGGGGGGAGAAAAAAGAAAAACCCATTGAAAGGAAAAACTTGATTTCCAAACAAACAATGTTTGTAAATCTAACGCATCTTTAACTGCAATAAACTACAGCACTCAAACGACCATAAACAGGTGTATTATATATGTGATGTCTGGACATTACCTCTGTAAATTGCATAGAGAAGAAAAATAAATCTGCTTTGGGGCTCATCTAGCCTTACCAATGAGGATTATTGAAAGTGACCTCAAGTGGCAAGAGCATTGGAAGGAAGCCCAGTAATGCATATTCAGATTTGCTATTTTCAACAGTTTCAGGCACACAGGATGAAACTCAGTTGCTTCATGAATGGTTTGAACTGGTCCTGGAGAAGAATAAATTAATGCGTTACGAGTCTGAGCTCTTGATTGTGTAAGTAAGAATGAACACTAATGCAAAAGATGTGGAGGGGAGACAGAAAATTGTACTCATGGGACATCTGAACATGTTGCTGTGAGATGGAGTTTTGAACTGTCATGGAATGAACATACTTAGAGTACAGGCTGTTGTGAATGCAGACCTCCAGTTGAGCCCTCCTCATTGTTTCCTTCTCACAGTGCTTCAATTTATTTCATTCCTATAGGATACTCAAAAAAGCTACAGCACACATGTTCTGTCTTTATGCAGCATGGGTCTAATGAACACTTAGGCACTTTCTCTTGTGTAAGAAAAATAGTCTGACAAGTGTATCTCACAAGAGAAAAAATCAAAGAATTCAGTACTGAGATGAAACAAGTACGTACACCAAGCCAATAAAAGCTGCCTCGTGCTGCTGTTTGTAGTTGCTGGAAACAATGTGGGCTGTAGCTGCTTCATCTCTCACCCTCTGCAGCGTGCTCAGCAGATAGCTGTAGGTGGCTCTCAGATATTTTCTCCACTGTCTCTGGATGATGCAGGAAGGCATTTAGAGCTGCAGTAGTTATTATTCATTCTGGCTGGACTCTGTTTGTGGGAGGGCTCAAGGTTGTCCAAAATGATTATATGAGTACAACCAAAAAGCTTTGACATAGCTGGTCAAAGCCCTGAGTGCTGCACTGTAAGAAGGAGCTTAATCCAATGCATAAAGCAAAAGGTGGTAATAGTACTCCTGTCATTGTTGTGTACAGGCAATAGTTTTAGCCTTGACTGCCCTTGAGGAGAAAATACTGAATAAACAGAATATGTGAAATCTTGATTGAAATAATGCTTATATTTGTATGACTTTATTTATTTATTTTTATTATTTTATGTATATTTTATTGTACCCAGAGCCCAAGAATTAGAATTGGAGGACCATCAAAGCAGATTGGAACAAAAACTGAGAGAGAAGATGGCCATTGATGGTAAGTGAAAGTGAACATGCTATTCTACATTCATAGACTATGCCCATTTGAGTACCCGCTTGCTTTGAGAAGCAGAGAGGATTATACTTTTCCTTCTGTGCTCTTCTGCAAGGTTATATCAGCTACAGGGCTGCAGGTTACCATTGTATTTTGGAACTGCCTTTATGTACTTGGGTCTACAGTTTGCATTTGTCCTTTCATTCAGCATTAGAAGAGTGTGGGGATGATGAATAGAGGCAGATGGGTAAATACATGGCACTGAATACACCAAAATATCCTGTTGGTTCTAAGCATGTGGACTATGAGTGACTACAGTTTTCAGCATTTTTTTCTGAAAAACAGTTTATTTTCTTACAGATTCTGCATTTTGTGATTGGGCATTTTGAATTTGATAAACTAATCTTGAAGTCCAGTACAAATGCTGTTACGTTAGATTTCGTACTCTAGTGACAGTAACTGCTACCTACCATACAGCATTTTAATTATGGTGTAATGTTTAGGCAGCATTTGAACAGTTTTTGTAAATAAGTAGCATTCTTACTACTGATTTCACAGCCTAAGTTTTGCTAAAGGTTCTACTGTACACTTTGGGGGCTTCAATGGTCAACTTCTAATGGCCTAAATGCAGGATAAATTTTCCCTGGACTGTAACGTGAAAAATATTAATCGCTATTGACTTCATTTTAGTGTAATATTTAATCCAAATACAACAGCTGTTAAAATGCAAATTATGGCAACAAAATGATCTGGATTATGACCTCTTGTTTTGTGATCTTTCAGATAGCCTTAAAAATGAGATGGATCTAAATGAGGAAGATGAAATTTTTATTGAGATGATGAAAGTGGTTGAAGAAAGGGACAAACTCGTGTCTGCCTTAGAGGAGCAGAGAGTGAAAGAACAAGCAGAAGACCAGTGCTTTGAAAGCATTCTATTATCAAGGGGCTGTCAGCTGAGTGGTATTTGAACTGCCATGTGCAAACAAATGTAATTCCAGCAGTATTTGTAATCATGGAGGTACTGTCTTCTGAAATTTAAGGTAATTCAAATTTGAAGTCAGTTTATTTGAATAAGGTCATCCCATTATCAGGAGCTTTTAAACAACTTCTGTGCTCACACTGATGTGAATCACTTCACTGTCAGCATCAAGAATCACAAGAATAAAGATGGAATGGATTTACCTGAGAGACGCAGCAGCCTGTGAAAGGGAAATTGGCACTCCAGTGTTTCCTTGGAATGTTATTTTACTGCTGAAAATAGAGTTATTAAGAAAAAGGATGATATCATATAGTATTTTTGAGATGGCATTATTTTCTGTCCGCTCGTCTGACTCTTTATGTGGTTTTGCTTATATTTTGGCACAGCGAAGCCATGATGAACTATTTAAAGGTCAAAAGCAAGCATCTCTTATAGAAATAAGGTTAGTTCTTTTTTTTTCTGGTAGAAAAGTCTTTTGACTGATAACTATGCATAAGCACTCATTAAAACCATTGTAAATACAAGGTCAGATATGAATTTCCTAGGTATTCTTATGTTTTAGAGCACCGTGTGTTTTTGAACAAGCTGTTAAATATCTCCACGTTTTGTAAAATGGTAAGGGGTCATCAAATGGGCAACTCCCCTAAGACTGTTAGGTACTCAGAATAGCTTTTGTCTGTCACTGATTAAGGTCTTCTCTAAAGCATGCTGAATGATAATTTTAAAATACTTCTCCACCCCTGCTTCAAAGGATTTATCACAAGAAATATCATGAGGGTGTAGCAGCTGACAGATCTCCCTTAGAGTAATTCCTCAGAGGGCTGCAAAAATTATTGAGTTTTGCAATAGCAATGTTTGATAGATAATGTTGTGATTGCATTTAAATTACATTTATATTGCTGCTCAAAAAATGTATATGTAGATCTTTTGCTTAAAGGAAGTGCCTGCTATCTTTTTTTTTTTTCTTTCTGTAGTCATGGCATAGCAGATGTGCAGAAATTCTTGTTGATATTCAGGATAGCTTCACGTACTTTCTTAAGTCTGCAATTTTGCAATATAAGATTGGTAAGATTTCAGACTTGTACATATGATGCACTTATTTTCAAACTGAAAAACCAAGGAGACCAAAAGGCTGTTTCTTCTTGAACATCATTTTACCTCACACTTTGACTGGGAAGATTTTGATGTTCTCAGTATTTCATGACTGGTGCTTACTTGCAAGAGTTGTCTTCTTACAGCCAAAGCTACAAGCATTCTTGTTATGAGACAATTAAGCTAAATAACCTCTTGGTAACTAGCTGTAGGGTAACAGATACAGTGGATCTTAGTACGATAATTTATGAGTTATCTTCAGTTTTTGCTGTATTGTAAGAAATCTAAAATATCCTTTTTAAAATTTAAAAAAAAAAAAATTTCACTGTTGACCACAAATACATAGAATACCTCTTTGCTGCAAGAACTACACTACTGTTATGCAATATTTATTTATTTATACTTATTTATTAGTCTCTGTAAGGAGGATAAGAGTGTCATGTTATATTTTACAGTTCAGACGTTGTCTCCAATTTTCATAAATAAGTTTATTTCTAACAGTTATTTATGCCTACAGGTCTGCAGGGTAAACTAGGTAGCTTTATCAATTTGGTAATTATTAGTAATAAGGTATAAATTAAGATTAAAATATATATATATCTCTCTCTGTGGGATACCCTTACAATATAACACGTAGAGCTTTAACAGGATAATTTGTTTTTCACTTTGGTGGAAAGACATAGCAGGATCCCTGAATTTATTCCAAAAATACCATCGGCCATTTTTTTCTGTCATTCATATGCTGAGCACACCTTGATCTTCAAGTTACATTTTCATTGAGATGGACTGCAGTGATTTATTTTAAAACTCTTATTACTTTAGATTGACACAAAGTAGAAACAAGCAGAGCAGTAACAAATATGTTCATTTTCTCTGTTGAAAACTCCTGGCATTCCCAGTTTTGTGGAGAAAATGTATGGATTTTATCACTGTTCCCCAAAGCCTCATGTAGTCCAGTAGAGTGATACTGTCTAGATCATCTGTCATTGTTTGCTGTAGAAAACAGAGTTGTAATATTTTCAGTGGATTATTATTTTTTTTACAAGTTTTACAGCAAACTTATTGTCTTAATGCTTTGCACAGTAAAGGCAGTTCCGCACAGACGCCCTTGGTTACATCAATCAGTGATTATTTATTCATCTAATTTGTACTAAAAGCCTGTTCATCCTCCTCTGTACAAGGAATAGGAGGAGGAAGGGCAGCCCCAGAAGAATGTGAAGCAGGTCTTCTGCCAAAGTCCGACCTGCTCACCCAGGGCAGGAGCCTGGGCTCAGGTCACTCTGTGGTGCAGACAGGCCCCGAGACTTCACCTTACAGCAGATACTTGTTTGGTCATTGAGAGCCAAGAGATTAGAGGCAGCAGAAGTTGAGAGCCATCAGCATGTAATGGACTGTACAGATATTCATTGCTGAAATGATACTTTTGTGCGTGCCATGAAGTGATAACACACTCCATCCACAACCAGTGGTCCCACATGTCTACTCTTGGGTGGAAAAACCTGGCAGGCTACTGCTACCCTTACTGATACTAGAGTGCCTCTCAAGATTAGATCCAAAAACAAACTAGGCAGGCAAAGCAGGAAAAGAATAAATTCTTGAGCAATTTAAAGCAGTCTTTGTATTGTGTGAATAGAGGAGGCAGAAGAAATAAGCTATGTGCTCTGTTTGCAAGTCAGTTTAATATGGCTGGCATGTATTACAAACCTGTTTAAGCATGTTTTGTTATGAGTGTTCTTACTGCTTGGTCTTTTCTGTAAATTGACTCATTAACTGGATTTGTTGGGGTATTTTTTTTCTTTTTTTTTGGTTTTTTTTTCAGTCCTTGGCACTATTGTTGTTGGGTATAATGTGATGTGCTGGAATGTATTGCCATGTCTAAGTGGACTGGATGTGAGCAATTTTGTATTTGAATAAATAAAATTGTATCTCATTCTCTGAAGTGCTTGTGAGTCATTTCCATAGTAATTTCTCTCCTCTGGTACCTACAGTATAATAATATATCTCTAGGACAAATCAGTGGGTAAGAAATTGTATCAGTTTCTTAATCATATACTGGGAAGTAAATTACCCTGTCTTGCAGTTCACATTGCATTTTGTAGTTGTTTAGAAATAATGACACCCTGAAGCTGGATGGTATTCAACTCTACTTCTAATACACAAGGTTGTGAAATCCGTGAGATAACAACTTTATCACACAGGAATTCACAACCTGAATTTCCTTGGACACGACATACAAACTGTAACAGCTCCCAGAAGACTTGATGGAAAAGTGTCCGTGTGGATCACTAAGAATTGGTGATCAAAACCTTAAGTGCCAATTTTCAAATTCCCATCACTTTCCTTATAGTAGGTAATCTCATTTTGTTGCTTTTTACCAGTGGGGAAGCCTTTCAGAGCAAGACAATGATAAGAGAAAAGATGAGAGAAGCAAGACTGGAGCTTATGTTAGCATCTGCACTGCCGTTTCCGCCTCAGTGGCTTTAAACTGCTTGATGGTTCCTCCTCTTCAGATGGCAGATGGACAACAGCAGCTTCCCTTTGAGGTCAAGGTAATTTCTGGCACACTTGAACTGAGCTTTATCTTCTACTGTTTCCATTTTGTATGCCTGAGAGACAGGCGTGGTAGTGACTCCTTGTACTGTACTGCTCACAATATCTCAGGACTGCACAGGAATTACCTGCCTGCTGGGTTCACTGGAAATAATACATCAAACTTTTATCTGTTTTTAACACCTCTCAGGGAGCAGGTGACCACAGTGAGGGTTTGGCTGTCCCAGAGCACAGTGGGGAGGAATGCCACCAACAAATTTACTGAGACTCCCCTCCTATTTGCTCCTCTATCTTCAAAAGATTCTGTATGCAAAAAAAAAAAAAAAAAAAAAAAAAAAAAAAGCCAATTGGGCAAGGATTTCAGGGAATGGATTTTGTAAGCTATTATTTGCCTCAAAATCAATCTGTTTGCACTCAAGGTAAAGGAATGCCTTACTGGTTTTTATACTGTTTGGCTAGGTTTCTCTGGGCACAGGCAGTGAACTTGGACTTATTCCTTGAAACTGCTTTTGAGCCTAAGGCATACGTGATTTCCACTAAGAATTTCACTTTTGTTTGGCACTTTCTTTTCAGAAAGATATACTCCGTTTTCTTCCTCGTGTAAGCACGTACCAGAATGTGCCCTAGCAGGTTGGAGGTCATGTGTATCTTAAAAAGTTTTGCTGTTGTTAAGGCCTAAAACTGTCTTTGCTGAGTTCCGCATGGGCCGTATGGTTATTCGCAGAGTCCAGCACAATGGATTTACCATGGCAGCATGTGAAAACAATCCCCGCAATCTTCATGGCAGCCATACCTCATGAACCTGGCAAATACCTTGTGATATGGAAAGTGCAAACTGGATTTCACCTAAATCATTATGCCCCTAACATCTATGAACAAACCATGGGGTTCTTTTCAGATAGTTTCTTCTGCTGCTTTCAGTGAAACACTGAAAGAAGTCTAGTGGCCCTGCATGCCAGCAATGTGCTTGCTGGAACGCTGATGTAACAGATGCACAAAATCATGGGCTCAAGTGAAAAGCACAAGTGATGCTTATTAAGAAAGATTCCTGATGTTGAATTTTCCTAAAACAGTCTCAACATGGTCAGATGCAAATGCATCTACATTTGGCCATGCACTCACAGATGACAAATTGACTGAACTACATGTGGCCAGAAGCATCAAGTACCAGAACAATATTTGCATCAGAGTGACGTTTCTCTTTGAAACTTCTAAAATATTTAATCTCTGTAGCTGTACACAATACGTAATCTTTTGTTAGATTTCTAAACAGCCTCTTTTACTGTGCTTTTGAATATTACTGGGTGGGGAGGCATGGGGGAGGGCACGTTCAGTAGCTAACTATGCAGAACTGGCAGTCAGATGGCTGAGGGCAAATGTGTGGAGAAATCACAAGGGTAAACTTGGGTCTAGTTCTGTTCCTCATGAAGTCAGCGAAAAGATCTGCTGTAAGCAGTTACTGCAATAACAGTAGGTCACTGGAGCATTTTTGAAAACTTGTCTTCCACGGTTTAAGTGACCAATCTGATAAAAAGGCTCATGCAAAGGTACACTTAGAGACAAACACTGAACTTAGGGACAAAGGAATAATTTACTGTATGGCCTTAACCAGCTTGGCTTTAAGCCTGCGTGTTTAAAATAATAATAATAATAATAATAATAATAATAATAATAATAATAATAGTTAGCAAGAGTACTTTGAAAAACTAGATAGAACATCAGAGCTGACCTCTATCCCGGGAGTCAGCCATCTCAGATGGTAAGTATATGGCATCCTTTCAGCTGCTGCAGTGCTCCTTCTCGATAGCCTACCCCACAGTGGTTATATTTTGTATTATATCTCTTCTACCTCCATCAGAAGCAAGAGTCTGTTCCCAATCATTCTGAGTCCTGTAGTAAAAGAAATTAAAAAAAAAAAAAAAAAAAAAAACAGGTGTGCATGGATGGATATGCAGGTGAATAAAAATGCATTTGAAGTGTGGTGATGTAACCACCCTTTATTACCTGGCAATAGCATACATATGATCAGGCTACAATTAATTTGAGTCGGCTCACCAGTTTGAACAAGGTGCTGACAGGGAGCATGGTGAGAGCCCTCGTGGTTTGCTCCAGGTTTCTCTGTGCCAGATATAGTGGTGCAGCCCAAATGGCAGCCTGCTGCTGTTGTGTCCTGTGAGTGGGATCAGGGAGCATGATTGTGAAAGCATTCACTTATCAAATCTGAAGCAGAGCAAAAGCCGAGACAAATGAAAATCCACAGCAAGTTCATATCACCACAGCTTTGCTTTGTGGTTAAAATACTACTTGCATATGAACTCAGCATTTCAAAGCAGCATTCCCATGTCTGCCATAAGCTAGGCCTTATGCATGTCAATAAGATCCTTTCAGCCAAATGCAGTATTAATTTAAAGTCACACTTCTCTATATGTTCCCAGATCAAAAAAGAAAAAAAAGGAAAAAAAAAAAAAAAAAAAAGTAGCATATCTAGTTCTGACTTTAGGGTACAGAAAAAAAATGAATGTTGTAACTGTCCTCAAAAAGAATCATCATAAATGGAAAAACTTTTCAAAACAACCTGCAGACAACAGTCCAGGGAACACAAGTGTTGCTTTGAGCCAGAGAGCAAACCCCAGAAAGTGCGGAGCAGTGGTGGCAGCCTGGGCTCGTTATGCTTTTAACTGATGGCAGTTGGATGAATAAAGCTTTTCCCCAGGGCATATACTAACTGCACACAACAAATACTCATTGATGTCAGCTAACCGATGCCACCAGCTTGTGAAAACACAACGATTATTAGCTGATTTAGAAATATCCTCGCGGTAATTTCATTTCACTTATTACGCCTAATGGATAGCTAGGTATTTGCATGAAGCGTGTGTGGCTTTTTGCCTGAATTGTTAATCGAGCGATTAAGTGGGGAGTGAAAGCGGTGCCTCCAGCTGACACACCGCTGCCCCGGGTGCCTCCCGCACCAGCTCCCGAGCCGCAGCACATCAGCTGCTTCAAAGAGGCTTCTCTCTTAGGCTACTCATCTGCAAATCAAAGGAGGATTAGTACGGGCTATGTCACCTTTCTTCGCCCCCGTTTTCTATAGCGGTTGTATTTTTTCTGTTGAAACAGACATCGCCATGCCCGCCTCCCTCACACGGCGGCTCTGGCGGTAACCCACGGGCTGCTTAGCAAAGCGTGCTCCAGGGAGACGCGTGCGTGCCTGCAGCCTGCACGAGGCTATCGAGCGGCACCGTCACTTGGGCAGCTGATCAGAGTGCAGAAACACCTGCCTGCAGCGCCCACCCCTCCAGAGCCGCCACGTGCGAGCAGGTACCGGCGAGTTCCCACGACTCCGACCGAGCGGCCCTCAGCTCCGGCGGTCGGCGCCCTGCCGCTCCGCCCCGAGGCCCAGCCCCGCTCGGGCTGCCGGGCTGCGCCCTTCCCGTGCCAAAGCTGCGCCTCCGCCCGCACCCGACTTGCGGTGCGGCGAGGCTTTTCGCCGAGCGGGTCGGCCCTCGCCGGAGCCCGAGGTGAGCCGAGCCGCAGGAAGGAGCGAGCGGTGGCGGGGCGGGAAGGCCGTCCCCCGGCGGGACAGGTGAGGGCGGAGGGGCGCAGCCGCCGGCGGAGGCGCGTGGCGGAGGGCGGGCGGGAGGCAGGGCAGGAGCGGGAGAGCGGAGCGGAGCTGCCTCAAATGCCTGGAATAATTCCGCTTCCGTTCAGAGCCGGGAGCGGCCTCCCACGGCTCCGGGGCCTCGCAGCCGCCTCCTCCATCCCCGAACGCCGGCCCGGCCGCCATGGCATCGTCCCCCCAGAAGTCCCCTTCTTCCCCCAAATCTCCCACCCCGAAATCGCCCCCGTCCAGAAAAAAGGATGACTCCTTCCTGGGCAAGCTCGGCGGCACGCTGGCGAGGAGGAAAAAAGCCAAAGAAGGTAAGAATCGCGGGTCCGCGCGTTTCCTGGGAGTTACCTCGGGACGGGGAGGGGGGTGGGAGGAGACAGGGGGAGAGGAAAGGCTCGGGGGAGCGGAGGAAGGGGCTGACGGGCGGACGCGGGTGGGGTGGGCAGGCGAGCGGCGAAGGGAGGAGCGCCGCGTCGCCCCGGGGAGCCGCTGGGGCCGGGCGGGGAGCGCCGCTCGCGGTGGCGGCGCGGGGACGCGGAGCGCGGGCCGGGAGATGCGGGGCCGCTGCGGCCGTGGGGCCGGGCCGTGCGGATCGGCCGAGAGAACCGGGCGGCTCCGAGTTCGTCCCGCGGGCCGGGGAGGGCCGGGCGGGGTGGCCGTAGGGCCGCGCGCAGAAGCGGGCCGTATCCCCGCGGCCGTCCGGATGGCGGGCGGGGCGGGGCGGGGTTCGGCCCGCCGCTCTGCGTGCGTCTGAGGCTGTGGTGCGAGCAGCGTGCGGATTGCTGTGCGGATTGCTGTGCGCGCTGTCCGTTGGTGTGTGTTGGAGTGCGGCCCGCCGTGGGCACGGCGCTCTGGGAAAGCAGGGTGACGCACACAGCTTGCAGCAGCGCTCCGAGGCTGGACCTGCTCGTTCTGTGTCCGGCTGGGAGCCTTTGCCTGCAGTGGAGCTCGAAAAACGCTGAGCCGACAGTCGGGTTCTTTGTCCGTATATGAATTAATACCACTCTCTGCTGCATCTGCCGATTTAGAATCCCATGAGGCAGAGAACTGGAATTTAGCCTTACTCACCCATCGTTTTTGTTGCTGATTTTAATTTGAACTCGATACCAAGGTAGCAGTCACTTCAAAACTGTTTTTGAAGTCTGCAAGCTCTTTGCTTGCAAGGGAGAGAGACGTTCCGCTCAGCAGACCCTGTTTCTGAAGTACACAGCTGGGTAGTGAAGCAGCACGGCATTTCAAAGAGGCACCTGTCAAGTGCCTCTCCGCCAAAGCTCTGGGGCAGTACAGCCCCTTACTCTGTGTCTGTCGTGTCTTCTTTCTAGATGTGCTGTCTTGCTTTTCAATTAAAAAGCATGTTGCACAACTGCACTCACATTGTTTGGCTTTTCTGGTCATTGCGAATGACTCAGAAGTTGGTGAAATGGTCAGCAGTGGCAAACTGTGCTGGTTGTCCTCTTACGTTACCTCCAGAGAGTAGTGATGAACATGAATGGCGCTGGAGTAGAAAACAAACCTGTGATGAGGCTGCATTGTAGGTGCATTTAGAGATCTTTAACCTATTTGTAATTGATTTAGTATGCGCAGTATTCGTATAAATAAGGCTCTTTTCCTCAGAGACAGAGAGCAGTAAGTCACAGCTCTCCAGGAAGCTGTTAGAGACGGCACAGTTACTCTTATCCACAATCTTTTAATCTTACAAAATTAAATAATAAATAAAAATGTATTCTGTGAAACTGTGTTTCTTCTCAGGAGTTCTGTGTCTGTATTAAAGTCATTGACTAAAATTTGTATCTGTCATTTCATTATCTCATCATGTTACTATTTGCCCTTTTGCAAAGTCGGAACATATTAGTGTTTTCCTTTGTGTTTCCCAGTTTTCTAACTTTTATTTAACAGTATTTCAGAGAATTATTTTGCAACTTGGCAGGGAATTTATTTGAAGAAAGATAAGTCATTAAAGTCTCCATAACATCCTGTGTGTTTCCACATGTATTTAACTGTTATATGTCCAGTGGAAGCGAGGTATGTTAGTGAGATTGGAAGCACCATCCATCTGTTGTATGGTGTATACCAATTATGTTTTAGTGCAGTCTATGCTATGTATGTAGTTAATTACTATAGATGACCTATTATTTTATGTATGTAGCATTTGTGTTTGTGCTATCAGCAGGCATTTTGATCACTGTCAAAGTGATGCTTTGGGTAACCTAAGATACAGTAACTCAAGATACCACAGATTACGTTGGTAGGGATTAGTCATGCATTAAAACATAATATTTAGTTGCAGTGTGTTTTACAGGGCACTTCATGAGATCTAAAATTTGGAGCAAAGATTTATTTTCTGTCATGTAGGGTCTTGGTTTTCATTTACAGTACTTCATCTGCTGTCATCTTAGGATGAGAACGCTGTTGTTCAGTGAGAGCGTGAAGCAGCTGTGACTTTAGATAGCATAAATATGTTGCTTAAGTAACAAAGCCCACAAACTCTAAACTGTGTTTGGAATAGCTTTTTATCTTACAAAAAAATGCTGAGATACTACTGGAATATCTGATGATCTGATATTTGATTTACAGCTGAGCCGTCGTGTCCCAGAATTCTGTACTTGGTGAGATTCTGTCCTTTTCGTTCCTGAAAACCATTCCAAGACTGAGATGACTCTTATCTGCTTCTAAGGAGCCCAGGGGGTGCTGAGCAGGAGCATAAGGTGTTCAGTGGGCCTCTATGTATTCCTCAAAACCAACAGCAAATCACACAGTTTGGTAGCAGTTTGTACTGTGTATTAAGCCTGTCTTCATACAAGGCAAGGAGCGAACGTGATGACCTCGTTTTCTGCACATGAATGTGTGTGCTATGTTACCTTATGAATTTTACGTGGCGGGTTCAGGTTGTCCTCCTTGAATTTGCCTGGCTTGGCAATTACAGATGCAGAATTTTCACTCTTCATAACAGCTTATCGTAGTAGAGAATGTAAAGAATTGGCCTCTGACACACTTAAGTCTGTGACACTTTCAGGAACGAGGAACAAAGATCAGAATTACTTAAACTGTGTAGGAGCAGATGGGAAACGGGCAGCTTGGGCCAGTAAATTGAGTAGAGAGCAATTACTGCTTGTGGTGTGGGCTCAGTCAATTTTCCAATTGATATGACATCAGTTTCAGAAATTTGACTGCTCTTCTTCCTAGTTGAGTTGCTGTTGATGGGCAGGAAAAGGAACCAGTGTTGTAGCTTCTGGCTGTGATATTTCTTTGGCGTGTTCTGTTTTGATTTCGGTTGGGTATGTGAGGTCACAGGAGTAGTGTTTTTGTGTGTGCCCAAGGGACGAGTATGTTAACAGCTTAAGAATCTTGTAGACTTGGCTAATTCTTGAAAATATCATTCAGCTTCTCAGTCTTCACTTTGTTGCAGTCATGCATTTGAAAAAAATGATACTGAGAACAAAGTGAAGACTACCAATGAAGCCTAAGTGCAGGGTGGTGGGAGCATCTGAGGTACTTGAAGTAAAATTTGTGTCTTTCTGGAATCTGTGATTGAAGTGCTTTGATGTGTGACTGACAGAGATCACACTTCCAGCTGGCTGCGGGTGCTTACCAAAGAAACAAGGCTTTTTGGTACACAAGTGCCCTATGTTAGCTGAGATATTTGGCTTATTTTCTTTGGATCTGTTTCTGTGACTTGTCTTTGAGCAGTGCAGGAGAAAATTTGTTGAAGAATTTGTTGGGCCGTGAGGAGCCAGACGAGGTTGGACAAAAGCAAGCGTAGAGTCTTGCACCTAGGGATGGATAACAGCATGCACCAGTACAGGCTGGGGGCTGACCTGCTGGAGAGGAGCTCTGCAGAGAAGGACCTGGATGTTCCTGTGGACGACAGGTTGGCCATGAGCCAGCAGTGTGCCTTTGTGGCCAAGAAGACCAATGGGATTCTGGGGTGCACTAAAAAGAGTGTGGCCAGCAGGTCGAGGGAGGTGATCCTCCCCTTCTTCTCTGCCCTGGTGAGGCCTCATCTGGAGTACTGCGTCCAGTTCTGGGCTCCCTGGTACAAAGTAGGAAGGGATCTCCTGGAAAGAGTCCAGCAGAAGGCCACAAAGATTTGAAAGGGTCTGGAGCATCTCCCATGCGAGGAAAGGCTAAGTGAACTGGGTCTGTTCAGCCTTGAGAAAAGAAGACTGAGAGGGGATTTGATTGATGCCTATAAACACCTAAAGTGTGGAAGGCAAAGGAACGATGCCAGACTTATTTCAGCAGCGCATGTCCAAAAGATGAGGGGAAACAGCCACAATCTGAAGTAGAGGAAGTTTCACACAGATGTGTGTAAGAATTCCACAGTGTGGGTGACGGAGCTGACTGGAGAGGTTGTGGAATCTCCTTCTCTGGAGACATTCAGGACCTGTCTGGACGCCTACCTGTGCAACCTGGCCTAGGGAGTCTGCTTTGCAGGAGGTTGGACTGGATCATCTCTAGAGGTCCCTTCCAGCACCTACACTTCTGTGACTGAAAAATCTCTGTCAGTAGACATGTTCTGCTCACCTGCTTGTTTTTCTGTGTGGGTTATTCTAGATCAGCATAAATACTTTGTAGTTGTATTCTTTGCTGCTGCTGTCACTTGATACTGTACCTAATGTGGATTGGAAGAAGAACTGTCAACTCTACTGTTACGCTTGCTAATATCCATTGGTAACATGTAGCACAAATGAAAATGGGCTTCTGTGTGCTCATTCCATCCCGGTGCCTTGCAAGCACATGCTGTATTTCCTTTGAGGAGGAAATGTCGTGAGGAAAACTTTATCAGCGCCCTCCAATCTCTGCTTTCTGTTTGTACCACAGCGTACCGGCACGTTGGGGCTGGGTTTTCCTGCACCATCAGGATAGCTGTTGCTTTGATGTCTGCCTTAATGTGTTCTACCTCCAACCTCACTGCATAACAAGTGAAATGTGTGCATAATCTTCTTTCCCTGCTGCTGCTGCACACCACGTTCATATGTCCCCAGTGTTCTGGCAGGGCATCACAGCCAGCTGTGCATCTGGTGCTGGGCACAGCCTGCCCCTCTGCCCCTGGAGGAATACTGCCTTGGTGCCAGTCCCAGAAAGCAGATGGAATACTTCTGCTGAATGGGAGGAACGGGAAAGTGGAAAGAGAAGCAGAGGGAAGGCTCACCTGCTTCTTTGTTGTCATTGTGTCGCTGGGAGCCTTTCTAAGCACAAGGGCAGGGCTTAGGAACAAAGTAAGGAAGAAACTAATCAGGAGGAGAGCAGTTGTTTTTGTTTTCAATCCTTTGAAACCAGATCTCAGGATAGCTGGAGGGGGTCCTCTGCT